ACCGTTAACGTTAAACGTTAACGTTAACGTTTAACGTTTAACTTTTACTTTTACGTTTTTACGTTTTTACGTTTTACGTTTACGTTACTACTACTACTACTCTCTCTCTCTCTCTCTCTCTCTCTCTCTCTCTCTCTCTCTCTCTCTCTCTCTCTCTCCCTCATGTATGCTGCTAAATTTGAGGATTGAATTGCTTTTTCCTTTTTCAATTTGATGTGATCTGGATTTATTCACTTGCTTGTATTCTTCTACATGGCATTGAACCTCTGATTTCATAAATTTTGGTTTTCTGATTTCAGTTCCTAGGCAAAAGTATTGTGAATCTATACACAAAACGGTAAGAAGAAAAACCCGTACCGTGATGGCTGGAAATGTGGCTCTTGGTAGTCAACACCCCATAAGAATTCAGACCATGACAACGACTGATACCAAGGATGTCACCGCAACAGTGGAACAGGTCTTTAAATTCTTTCTCCATCTTTTTATCGAGTTGTTCTACTTTCTTTCTACCATTTTTATCAACTGAAGTGTCATATTATCCTGCAATTTTTTATTATATCTGTAAGAGCCAAATCTTGATTCCTTTTTCCTTAGTCATCCAACAAATCGGCATATTGAAAACCTATCCATGCTTTTCCTTGATTCCTTTTCACCGAAAGGTCTATACTTCGATGCTAATTTTCTCATGAATGTGATTTCTCATCGATGGGTTTTTTCTATGCATTTATTCGGTCCTTGATTCCTTCGTCAGGTCATGAGGATAGCCGATAAGGGTGCTGATATTGTTCGAATAACAGTGCAAGGGAAGAAAGAAGCGGATGCTTGTTTTGAGATAAAGAATACCCTTGTTCAAAAGAAGTAGGACTTACGACCTCCCATATATCTTTGGCTGGAAATGTTGGAAAAGGTTAAATAATATTATTCTTATTTTGTGTTTTGTTGCAGTTACAATATTCCACTTGTGGCAGACATTCACTTTTCCCCACCTGTTGCGATGAGAGTTGCTGAGTGCTTCGACAAGATCCGGGTCAACCCTGGGAACTTTGGTATGTGAACCACATTTCCCCCATTATTTAAAAAATTAAGACCAAAGTTTTCCCAATGTGATAAATTTATGCTTCTTAATCCCCACAGAGAAATTTGTATCTGTTCAATTACTGAGATCATTGCTTGCAGCTGATAGGCGGGCTCAGTTTGTAGAGCTTGAATACACTGACGAAGGCTATCAGAAGGAACTTGAACACATTGAAGCGGTCAGTTCAATCGTCTTCCTAGTTGTTTGTTTGTTTTGTAATTCCTGTATATTTCATTCAGGCAAAGTACTATACTTGACTGGCATTCCTTGTATGACTTTTTTTCCCTACTTTAACAGGTCTTCAGTCCATTAGTTGAGAAGTGTAAAAAGTATGGAAGGGCCATGCGAATAGGAACAAACCATGGAAGCCTTTCTGATCGTATCATGAGTTACTATGGTGATTCCCCTAGAGGAATGGTTAGTTGATTGCGACCATTCTAATCTCTCCTATTTTCAAGATAAGGAATCTTTATTTTATCCTCTCCATTCTGATGTTGTTATGCTCTTCAAACAGGTAGAATCAGCATTTGAATTTGCAAGGATCTGCCGAAAATTGGATTTCCATAATTTTGTGTTCTCAATGAAGGCGAGCAATCCAGTAATCATGGTCGAAGCATATCGTTTACTGGTTGCGGAAATGTATGTTCAAGGATGGGATTATCCTCTGCACTTGGGAGTTACTGAAGCTGGTGAAGGTGAAGATGGAAGGATGAAATCAGCTATCGGCATAGGAACCCTTTTACAGGTTTTCTCAAAATCCTTCCCCCCGGTATCTCATGTATTCTGTGAGTGTTCAATACAAATGTTTACAAAGTAAGTGACATCTTGTAGACCATCAGGAACATTTGTAATATGTATGATATAGTAGCTAATCGGTAGTTTTGGAAAGTTGTACTTCTGATTTAGTTGATATGTTTCAGCTAAATTGAAATGGTGGGGCCCTGAATTTTGGAAACCAGTACATATATCATTCCAGAGCTAGCCATGTGCTTAGAGCTCTTAATATTGAAAACCTCTTCTGAGGGAGAAGAAAATAAAAGGTAATCTGGCAAACTTGTGACCCTTTGTTTCATACAGGATGGTTTGGGAGATACAATTCGAGTTTCACTGACAGAACCACCGGAGGAAGAGATAGATCCTTGTAGAAGGCTAGCAAACCTTGGGATGAAAGCAGCAGAACTTCAGAAAGGAGTGGTAAGCATGCATATAGACATTGTCATTATGAAACTGGTTTAACTTAGATGCTTCGAAGCTTTGGTTATGGTGGACATGCTTGCTCGGTGGAAAATAAAAGCTGTAATCTGTTCCATGAAAACATGGGTTGAATCTGATGACTGATCAGAAACTTGTTAAATTTGTATGATTGCTTCTTTCCAATAGGCCCCATTCAAGGAAAAGCACCGTCATTATTTTGACTTTCAGCGTAGGACTGGGCAACTACCAGTGCAAAAGGAGGTTAGTTGTTGTTCTCTTGGATTCCAGTATACTCCTTGAAAGCAGTGCTCCGTATACCTTTTTCTCTATTCGTTGTGTCGGTCTACTTCTAACTTCTCCATGTCATTCTGATGCGAATTCTGTAGATTTGACACTGAAAATGTGGTTAATTGCAGGGTGAAGAGGTTGACTACAGAGGTGTCCTTCACCGTGATGGCTCTGTTCTTATGTCAGTGTCCCTTGAACAGTTGAAGGTAACAATTAATTTACTTATTCTCCATGTCAGATGGATATATTCTGTTGCTTTGCCTATAAATTTTAAAAGCTTACCATGAAAGGGAAGTATATATCCTGTTATTCTTATTGAATACAGAGAGGTCTCTGGTCATATACAAGTATATGACAAATCTAATGCTTCATTATGAAATAGTGGTCAGTCTCAGGCTTAGTTATGAATGATTCTTTGACTACATACTTATGGCGCTATTTGACACAGCATCATTAAGGGTATGGGGTGGATGATATTGTCTTATATACATGTCTCACTTGAGTTTCATGCATGCTGCATGTTATGAATGATGTGGTTCCTGTGGACACTATTATTCTCACTTTGAATATAACTATCCATTTCCTTTTTTTTACGCTAATAGCTATCAATACCAGTATGGCATTTTGCAAGTTTTCATCATCCGTTTTTAATATTTCCTCACTCAATGTAATTTCCTTCTCTATCAGACACCTGAGCTTCTTTACAAATCACTTGCAGCAAAGCTTGTAGTTGGTATGCCTTTCAAGGTATGTGCTTATCTGATCTCTGATTTGCAATTTAACATTGGAAGCTATTTTTCTGTACAGTGGTGCTTGTGAATTAAAGCCTGTGGTATGTATGCATTAGGATCTGGCTACCGTGGATACTATCCTTGTGAGAGAACTTCCTCCAACTGATGATAGTGATGTGGTATAGACTCTGACATTTTAACTTTGTACAATTCCTTCAGTTCTATTTTCTTGGTTCTGCTGATGCCTTCTATTTTTTTTGGGATTTTGTATGCAATGGGACCATTTACCTCTGGTACAAGGAGGTTACAATTATTTATAACCATCCAATGTGAAATCTGGTAGCTTGGGTGTATCACAAAGTTCAACAAAATTTCTTTGGAACATTGAACCTGGTCAATGGAATAAATGCAGCAGTCCAATTTCACATCCAGTGGTCAAGATTAATTGTGACCACCTCTTACCAAAGATAAATAGTTTCATTGTATACTTTTCCTTCTTTTTTTTCCATTTAAAACTCAGACACTTTACAAACAATGATAAAAATATCATGTAGACTGTTTCCGTAAAGAGGATCATCCTCAATACTAGCCATGATAAAAGAAAAGTTTTCGTTTTGAGGAAAACAATAAAGTTTTGTGTTATATGGGTTATGAGGGGTTTTACATGATGAGCTCTGAAAGATATCTATTTGTGATCAGAGGCTTGCACTCAAAAGGCTGATAGACATAACTATGGGGGTCCTTACACCCTTGTCGGAGCAGCTAACAAAACCCCTGCCTAATGCCATGGTCCTCGTAAACTTGAAGGAATTATCAAGCGGTGCTCACAAGCTTTTGCCAGAAGGTATTTATTCTGATTGCACCTTGAATTTCTACTGTTCTTTCTATAATTCTAGCTATAGTGTCATTGTGTAATTTAGAATGTTGCGTCACACCTATGGCCCATTCAGGCACCCGCTTGGCTGTATCTGTTCGAGGCGATGAGCCCTATGAAGAGTTGGAGATTCTTAAGAATTTGGACATTACAATGTTGCTGAACAATTTACCTCCAACAGAGGACAAAATCAGCCGTGTACATGCAGCAAGGAGGTAAATAATTAATTCTACCCATATGTAAAAAAAAAGCTTTTTTGGCTGGACAAATCTGGTGTATTTATTTTGTTTGAATGCCATGACTGGGGAGAAATGTCACTTTATCACATTCCAAGGTTTTTGCATCATTCACTTTGAAATAATATTTTTTTCTACTATTCTAGTGATATTCAATTTTAGTCGATCAGCCTACAAGTTTCTTATCTGAAATGTGATTGTATGCTTAAAGTTGAATGTATGAAGCTTGAGTTTCTTTTTCGACTGCAGATTGTTCGGGTATCTAGCAGACAATGCTCTGAACTTCCCCGTAATTCACCATCTACAGTTCCCCAGTGGAGCTCACAGGTCTGTAATTTATAAAATCTATTGAACTCACTACAGTGGAATAATGCATCTGTTTGGTTTAACCGTGAGCTGAAGCTGTTTTTTGGACCTGCAGAGATGATGTAGTCATAGGTGCTGGTACTGATGCCGGTGCCCTTCTAGTGGATGGCCTTGGTGATGGGTTATTATTGGAAGCCCCTGACCAAGACTTTGATTTTCTGAGGAACACGTCTTTCAATTTACTTCAAGGGTGCAGAATGCGCAATACAAAAACTGTAAGTGAAAAAGCTACCTCTGTGTTTTTTTCTGTGGTTTTATTTTGTATAGGTGTCACATATGCAACTACTTGTACATGCATGCATGGATCATATAACCATAATTTGGGTTCATAAACATTCCTATTCCCTTACTTATTCACGAATAGATCCCACTCATTGGCAAAAAGAAAAAGGCAAAATTCGGCTCCAGTTGTTCATGATTAAGACTCTCCACTTATATGTAAACCTTTTAAAACATAGAACTATGTTTTTTCCCATAGGCATGAGTTACAGAAGCATTCAAATATTGCCTTAGCATGTGTGTTCCCACACATAAACACAGAGGCATATTCGTACGCGCACACACAGAGTACATATGCATGTCTATATTATCTTGCAAATGTTCAAGGTTATATTGATGCATATCTGGACATCTAAGTCTAATAGTTTAATGATCCCACATGCGCCGTTCTTCCAGGAATATGTCTCATGCCCCTCTTGTGGACGCACACTTTTTGACCTTCAAGAGATTAGTGCTGAGATACGAGAGAAGACATCACACTTACCTGGTGTTTCGGTATGTTCCGTATATCTCCCAATAAGAGTAATCCTATCAAACTTCTTTTTAAACCAAAAACCTAATTCTAATGGGATATGGCCAGATTGCAATAATGGGTTGCATCGTGAATGGGCCTGGTGAGATGGCAGATGCAGATTTTGGTTATGTTGGTGGTGCCCCTGGCAAAATTGACCTATACGTTGGGAAGGTAAACACTCTCTTCATTGCTGAATGCCATATATTATAGACCACTTTGTGCTTTGCTCTAGCTCTATACTTTCCCTTTTCTTAAGTATGTTAAGGTTGTTTTGTCACTTGGTGTTTATTATTTTCCCCTCCCAAAATTTATGTTCTTCCTCTTTATTAGTCTCCTCCGAGTTCTCCGCCAAAGTGGTGCAATACCACGTGTGCAAAAACTACGCACACGTTCACATCTAGTCTATTTGTGTTACGAGGTTTTCTTGAGGTCACATATACACAACACGGTATTAAAGCTTATAAAACAATATTGTTCTCCATACATGTGACCCAAGATTGTGTTGCCATTAGTATTTAGAAAATTGTGACACCATGAGATAGACTAAAAAAATCATTGAAAGTATCAATTTTGTTTATAATACCTGGATGTATGCAGCTTCTCTACACTCGTTCAGAAAAGGTACTTATTATTTTGATATTATTTCATTTTGATTTTACATTGAAATGCGGTCTAAGAAGGGCGAAGACCTTAAACTTTTCCTTAACCCATCCCATACCCTGGTAAAAGGGCATGGTTGTGTTAGGTACGCAGCCAATGTAAAAGTTTGTCAAAACTCATAATGAATCCCGATAAATTTATAGTATCTGATGATTCAAATGCACGAAGATGTTTATCATGTTATCTGCAATTTTATTGAGATTTTGCCAATGTATGTATGTTCTATGTATAATGGGACAAATAGCCAATAAAATGCATCCCACTGTCCCACAGCTAGGCAAATGGTAGCTCAACATTTCTTGACTTTTGTGGTTTCAGACTGTAGTGAAGCGTGGAATTGAGATGGCACACGCAACTGATGCTTTGATTCAACTGATCAAGGATCACGGGCGCTGGGTTGATCCTCCATCCGAAGAGTAACTTCTTTCAAAATTTGTCTATTACAAGAAAAGGGAGATTTTCCCTGGAGGATACACGTGGAAATATTTGTTGCAACAGTAATTACTTGCTGCACTGCCATGGAGGTTACAGGAAAGGTCTCTGTAAATTTTGCAAACCCCTGGAGTTGTCTCTTCCTGCAGTTACCTGGATAGGCTGAAAGGTGGGGGCCAGTCTAATTGAGCAGCATCAGATTAGATCCACATAAGTATGTAATCATATTTCTTTAACTGGTAATATAATTGATGATGGTTTTTGAAATGCAAAGTGACTGAATGAGAGTTGAAAATTGCAGCTGCAAATGAGAAATATATCCTGATATTTCTCATCTTGCAAGGCATTAGCTGTGAAATATTTCACTTTAGGTGCAAACGGGCCACAATCACCCCATCCATCAGATGTGAAATTGGGGGCTTGGATGGTTGGACGTACCATTAATTGAGCTCAAAGTTTCAGATTTCATGTGAAGAAATGGCACACCCAACTCCCGATTTTACATCTTAAAGAAATGACCCAAAATGACAAATCAGGATTCATGTAGCTAACCTTAATTAGTTGGTACAAACCGGTATTTGAGTAGTCAATCCCAATTAATTGGGAAAATTTTTTGACGATGATGATGGCTGAAGTGGTTGAAGTGGGAGTCCTTTTGTAATGAAACTAAACAGTCTCGTAGGTTACAGTCCTAATGAAGAACGACTATTGATTTAGGTACAAGAAAAGATTTGACTTTGGTTTATTACAAACACTGCCAAGGATGTGCTCCGTATTAATGTGGATTGGTTTTAGGGGTGTGTGCGCTGGTGCTACTTTGTAGTGGCCCATAGCTCTCTGGACTGATTCGATAGCTCAATAAAGATAGGAAAAAGTTTATATAGAGCTGAAGCTCTAAACAATCAAATAGAGCTCACCTCAAAAATTTCACTATAAATAGTTAGTCTTGATACCCAAATATCCTCAAATTGATCATCTCGACATCAAGCAGCATGGACATGAGAAAAAAAAATGGATTTCAAGTTTTGAAAATAATATATCTTGCAATGTATTTTTGGATTGTCAATTTTCCAGTTTTCATAAATCTATTCGATCTATAATATTTTTTAAACTTTAAATTTTATAATTAAAGATGAAAACAATCTTAAAGCTATCACAAAGATTCCTAATATTGAAACCACATTTCTCGACATTATTTGAAGGTGTGCTTTACGTTGATTGTTTAGAGCATCTATACAAACCGCACCCATACAGGTAAGGTTTATCAAAGTGAATACGGTCTATGCGCTCTCATTAAAAATAGATTTCGTCTTTCATCAAGAAAGAACCAGTTACATCAAGGGATAAATGCGCTTTCTTGCTAAACTCAACTAATATTATACTCGAAGAGTAAGCGATGATATAAAGTGAATGGAGGTGTTATACAATTAAAGACTCTTTCTACAAACTTTAATACTAAGGTTTCAAGAAGTAATATAATATGACAAAGCATACAGAACATTTAATTTTTGTACAAAGAGATCACAATCATTCTTGTCCTTTAAATTCCAAATTGGATGATTATAAAAATGTCATTGAAAAGATTCAAAATTCATAAAAAAATTAATCTCAAACTCCATGACTAGCCTAAGCCATCCAATTTGACAACAAATATACACAAGGGGTTGTGATTGTATACAATCCCATATAATATAGTTGTTTTAAGTTAGGTTCCACGCATGTTCTTGGAACTTTCACCTTCGAACTCGATGCACAAATAATATACCAAAAAGGCTATACAATGGCATCTATACAAATAGTCACCATATATAATCTGAACCATGTATTCACAACAACGGATGACTGAGATGAATCCCCCTATACAATGGCATCTATACAAATAGTCACCATATATAATCTGAACCATGTATTCACAACAACGGATGACTGAGATGAATCCCCCTCAAGTAATTCAAACCTGCTTGAACAACAGAACAAGCCTCACCTATTGCCGAAAACATACATTTGAAGCTACATTTTAGTATGCTGCTTGTCTACTTCCATACTACGCATCATTCTCCACTCACTCGTCTATTTACACGAACCCGCCCCTTCAAATTCATATTAAAGATGGAACTTCAATTGAAAATTTTGTTTGTTGGAGAATCTCAACCATGGCGAATATGATGAATCTTGGGAAAATAAATTTAAATAAAAATACATTTTAAATGTATTTTTAATACCTTCAATTTTAGGTTTTAATGGTAGATCTAAGCCTTCAAGAACTGAAAATCATTTGCCTCTAAAATTAGCTTAGAGATGACATTCCGATATCAAATGCCTTGTCATGGTTTAAAACTCTATTTCCGTCCCTAGTTATAAAATCTAAAATTTTAAAAACAATACATATCAATAAACACTTGAAAATCTTGAAAATAAATGATCTCAGTATTTCAAAAAGCACTAGGCACCTAAGCAGCCCGGGGGTCAGCGCCTAGGCTGGCACCCAGAACCTGAGCAAGCCAGTAGAAAGAAATTTTTTTTGAGGTCTTTCTTTCTCTAAAATAGGGTCTAATGGGCTTTAGGTTTCAAATGAACTTAAAACCCACAATTTTGCCCCTTTATTAAAAAATGATAAAGAAAAATGCCCTCAACAAAAGGCATTTCCACCCCTGGGCAAGGCTCAAATCCTAGGCGGCTGCCTAGACGGATTCCCGAGCACCTAGCCAGGCGCCCAGGGATATCCACCTAATTTGGCTGACTAGGCCTGGGCATCGCCCAGCCTTCTAGCTGGTGAGTATATATCTTAAGAGTCAAAATAGTGAAGTGTGCATTGAAAGTGGCAGAGATGAACTAATGCAAAAATTACTAATGTATGAACTCAAATATCTCAAAAAAATGAAGCAAAGCAAGAACAAAGCCCAAACCAACCAACAAATGTACATAAGAGGGGAAGGCAACAAACATCTTATTGGAGTCTTACACAACAAAATGAAGGCATCTCCAAATGAAGGGAATGGAGAGTAACAGTTCAAAGGAAGGTAAGTACTGACAGATAAAGAGATCAGTACTTCACTGTAGTGACATGCTTGAGAAGCATGTGAACCACCTCATGGGAAATGCTCGAGGCCTCCATTTTCAGGTGCTGGATCTTCGCCTCTGTCTCTTGTTCGAGGCGTTTAACGTTTGAACCCGTATCTCCGCTGCTCTGTTAAATTCAGACCAAAAGGAGATAAGCAAAACAATCAAAAACAACTGCAAGCCTCTCTCTCTCTCTCTCACACACACACACACACACACATTGGGGCTGGTACTAATAATTTGTAAAAAGTAATAAGTAAAATACTATCTAAAGGCAAAGATACACAAATAATAGATTGTACCTCTGCAACTTTTCTCTGAAATTCAGCTTCCATCTGGGCACGAAACTCAGCAATCTCCTTCTCGGCCTCTTCTTTGGCCTGCTTTAGCCTAGCCATTTTCGCTTGAAAGAAAATGGAAGAGAAAAGTGAATATCAATAGTAGCTTTCTTTTTTATCAAAAGTATTGACTTGTTGAAATCGTTAAGGGTGAGATAGACTGTGTACCACTCCTTGCCGCATTGACAATGTGTTGAGCTTCTTGCTCTGCAGCAAGCAAGAGCTGGATTCCTCCTTGACCCCTGTTAGCTTCCATCTTCCCTGCCGAAAAAAATATTAAGCTGCAGTTCCATAACATTGAACAAAGATACAAAGTTTTTGTGATGCAGGATAGCAAAGACAATCAAAGACCATACCTCACTTGACAATTTGAAAAGAGATTTCAAGTCATTCAAGTCTAATGCATAAGCAATATGGTTTATGGCTAAGAAACTAAGAATAAAAAACAAAACGGCTAGTCCAGACCATGAAACATATCCAAGAAAAGGAATGCCTGTATAGGTTTGAGGAGGAACTGCATAAACTTCGTTATGGACAAGATTTTGCAGAATAACTACTCCTATGGTCATTGTGTCTACTGGTTACATAATTCTAATATCAAGGAGCCCAACAAAGTAGTGAATATATGAGCTAGCACTGAGAGTTCCTAATGACTATCCACTACTGTCACTCCACAAGCTGCGTACATTTTTATTCAAAGTAGTCTATCAAGTAACTATCTTCCTCTCCTAAAAATAAAAGAAAGAAAGAAGGTGAAGTCCTTTTCAAAAGCTCTTACATTTGTGCTATATTTGACTACGGCCCAAAGGATTGGTATGTGTATGTCAACCGTCAAATATTCTTAGTAGAGTGAGATGGGCAAACCATAAATAGCTATATAAAAGGACTTATTCCACAAACTCATTGTAAATTTGTTTTTTTTTATAATGAAATGATAAGATTCCACAAACTCAATGTAAGTTTGTTTATAAATAATTAATATTAAAGGACTTATTCAAACGCTGACCTCTTGGCAAAAGAGGGGGCCTGCTCCAGTTCCCCCATTGGGAACTATTTTTCGTGGCTACCTTTTCTTTTAAGCCTCTCTGAATTGCCTATCCTTTTTGTACATTTTTTGGACCCTTTGGGGCTTGTATAGAGTCACCTTTGTGGGTCACCATACCTCTTGTAATACTTCTATTTTTATTACTTGGTAACGCACTTATAGTAAATTTCACTCAAAAAAAAATTTGTTTATAAATAGTAATACAAAGGGGCAGGTCCTTCCAAATCCCAGACTAGCCTATCCAAAAGAAAATGATTAATATGTGTATGCATATCTAGTGGTCATGTATTTCCTAATAATCAAACAGTGTGTCTCAAAAAGAGAAGATCACTGGTCACTTTTTGGGCCCTCAATCACAATAGCTTCTCCATCTTTTCTTTTACAGACCTGCACCACCATTGGCCAACCTTGCTGCAACTCAGACCCCATAGAATTCCTCGTAGCAGAGGCTACCTATTGGAGTGGTGAACTCCACAGTAGCAGAGGCTAAGGCTCTACTCAAGGGACTTAGAAGATTCCATCCTCAATGGAGTACACAAGTGATGGTAGAAGGGGACTCCAGCAACACCATCGCCTAGGCATCCGGCATTGCCCCCTGCCCATGGAGACTCGATAATATCTTTGGGAAATTGCCCATCTTAGTAGCAGTATTCAATTCTCCTGGAGACACACTTATCCCGAAGCTGATAACAAGGCAGATTCTTTAGCAAGGGAGGGATCTAGTCTCAACTCTCCCAGGGGAATCCCGACCCCCCTTAGCACTCATCCCTTCTTTTTTGGTTCTGCTGTAGAGTCTCATGTACCTTAAAAGGTCTTTGTACAGGGCACCCTGTTAAGGGAACTGCCTATATTTTTTTTGTGTCTTTATACTCTATTAATACAAAGTCAACTTTATCAAAAAAAATAAAAAACCAAACAGCAACTTCATCCACATATCTAGATGCCCTAGTAGTTCATAATAAAGATGCTTAACTTCAAATAACATAAAAACACAAATCAACACAATTCAGTCACCCTAATCAACATGATAAACAATTCCATACACCCAATTCATATTTTCTTTGAACATATTATTCTCATAAATCCAACAATCTCGATATGTTTCACATTAAAATCTTAGTTCAACACCAAGGATGCAACCTCCCTTAATCCTTTTTGCAATTTGCAGTAAAATTTGAACTGGCAGCAATAGATACCATTCTTCCAAAATTTTCAACTTGTATAATTCTGTTTCAACTATCAAGCACAGGTTTCAATATAAGACCAAAACTCTAAACCCAAAGTCTACCATTTTCCCTGTTCTCTACACACATCACATTCATAACCCCATTCCCCCCAAAACCCCTCTTTCTTCTGTCGAGATTCTTTCATGTGCAACCTTAACCCCATTACCCCCAGAACCCCTCTTTCTTCTGTCAAGATTCTTTCATGTGCAACCTTCAAATATGTGTTACGGTTTTGTGTTGAGAGCCTACCTCGATAAGCTAACCTTCAAATATGCGTTAGGGTTTTCTGTTGAGAGCCTACCTCGCGAAGCTTATCGAAGGAAGAAGGCCCCTTGACTGACATAGAGAGAGAGGGAGCTCAGAGTATTGAGAGAGAGAAGGGGGAAGGGGAGTATCTAGAGAGAGAGAGCGTGTGTGTTTTTAGAGAGAAAGAGAGAAATACTCGTGTGTTTTTAAAAGGAAATCCAGCGTCAAAGTGTAAACCCATATGAGTAGGTTTCGACTATTGCCGGTAATCTGGAAAAATAATAAATTACCATTATGTGTAACAAAACGAACCCACATTGTTCATAAAAAGGACATGGTTTTTATGAGGGAAAATGTTTATATGAGGTCCCAACCTCCTACTGTACAATATTGTAGTAGGCTTGCTCCCAAGTTTCTTATCAACTACAAAGCATTCTCTCCAAACCCCTGACCCAAAATCAAACACAAAAAGGACATGGATGGATCATCAGCTATAAACCATGGATCAGACGTATAAATCCCTTTGATAAGGTCATATGCAACAAGGAGATAAAATGCCAGAATGATTTTCAAACCTACTTAAAGATTCGCAAATAAGAAATAATCCTTGCAAAAAAAGAAAAACAGAATATAGATACAGCAAAGGAAATCCAAATCTACTATGACCATGAAATAAATATTCCAGCCCAAATCTACTAGGACCAAGAAATAAACATTCAAGTCCTAAAATGACAATAGAGAGCAAATGAAAAATTCCCTACAAAAAAAGCTTCAATAAATCTCACGCCATGAGCTATCCATTACTTTAGCTGTCAATAGCAGATCAAATACAACAAATTTCTACAAAAAACAACATAGAGCAAAACAGATGATATAGATTGTACTGACCATAATCACTTATACCAAATAACTTTCTGAATATCAGAGAAAATTTTAAGGAAAAAGAAACAGCATAACTCAAGTTAAAACCGATCACTGCAGAAAGGTAACAATAGATCACAGATCAGTTCCATCAGAAGAGGTAGAACAAAATAATATATCTAACTACAACAACATACAAAAGCATGCGGGAATTCACAAAAACCCTAACCGGAATCTAAAACTTGACTCTTTACAATCGAAAACGAAATAATCTGCAGAATACAAAGCTGAAACCCAGCAAAGCCTAACCATATACCTTCATCAAGATAAAAAGGTACCCCTCAAAACCCTAAACAGATTAAAGACATGATCGCATAAGCCATGGTATGAAAGCACGCAGAAACTGTAGCACAAACACATAATAGAAAGATCTAAAAACTCAGAATAACCTAGAGAATTAAACGCCATAAATCACCTATCAAGAAGAAAACGAAGAAAGCCATGGTCAAAGAAAATAAAACCTTGCTTGTATAAGAAAAATACCTTGAAAATAGAATGAAAAGAAATGCCAAATACTCTGATCGAAAGCGAAGAAAAGCTTGTTGACAATGAAGCTCGGAGAGAGGAGAGGAGCTATTTATACAGTTGAGACTAGGGTTAGGTCTGATAATGGAGATAATTTTTGGAGGTTGAAAAATGTCCAATTTTTTTTGGACGATGTTCGGATAGGGCTGCTGCCCTATAGAATAGGTATAGTGAAGTGTTTGGTGAGTCGGTCGACTCAACTATTTTTGTGCGGTCTCCCAACAAAATATATCTCAAGGATTCATTTTCGATTAAAAATTTTATAGATCAATAGTCTAAAGAACAATTGCTTCATGCGGGTTGGGCCGCATTTCTACAATATGCAATCCAAACGTATAAAGCATCCATCTTTAAGATGGATGCAAATAGGTAGTCCCTCTAAAAACAATTGTAACTAATAGTCCAAATGTTTTCTTAATATAATTATCATTTCAAGTTTTCAAATTTTATTTATTTTTTCACATACGTGATCTCCATGTAAAAAATTATATATTCTCTAAAAATTAGGATCAAATTATATTTTAAAAATATATTTATTGCCAAGCCCGTATTTCTACATATGTGGGCTTGGCCGCATGCTAACTGTGTTCATAATCTAAACACGACAATAATCTAAATTTAGAATTTTTCTCTTTTGACAAAGTATAAATGTTATTTTTTGAAATCCTTTCTTCACTGTTCATTTTAACTTTTACTAGATGTAACATTTTCTGACATCCATCTTAGAGATGGGTGTTAGATCGATGGATGTTAGATCGACAATGGACCGCACGGTAATAGGTGAGTTGGCTGACTCACTAAAACCGTATCCAATAAGTAAAGCCTCACCTCAAAACTCATAAAAAATTGTAGTTTTGGTATTGAAAAACCTTCAAATCGACCATCTCAACCTTGACCATTATGGTTGTGAGAAAAATTAGGATTTCAAGCCCTAAAATTAGTATGTATTGTAACCTATTATCTAGACCATCCATTTCACCCTAAACAAAAGTTTTCACAATCCGCAAGATCTATATATATTTTTTAGCTTCAAATCTCATAATCAGTGTTGAAAATTGATGTTCAAGCCATCTGCCCAAAGTGCTTTCTGGACAAGGATTTTAGGCGAGGCTTTATTTTATTTTCATAAAACCTAGGCCTTATAGAAACTGCATCCTTTTTTTTTGTGGGGAAAAGGTATTGTTTGATGCAGTACTTAAAAAAGCGGATTTGTGATCCGAATCGTTCACACCCATATTCGTGTCGGATCAGTGTATCGGTTCGTAGAATTGGCCGAATTGGTAATTTTTGTCCCAAATTTTTTTTCAAAAAAAAATATAAATCTCCAAAAATAGTGTTCTTTTAGTTTCTAAAATAAATTAGGAGAGGTGCATCATGAACTTTCATTACTTTGTAAAAATAGGTGAATACTTAGAGTTTGAGACGTTTTCCTGTCTGAATTCTATTACGTAGCATACAACAACAAAAGAAATAACCTAATACAAAAACGAAAGAGGACTTCATTTTTTCAGAATATATTTTTTATTTAAAAGTTATGTTCCCGTTACAATACGTGATCTATGTTGAATCCCATCTCAAGTTTTAGATGGCTCTTTCACCACCCGTGCTTGCTCCAAGGAGTAAAAGAGAGATCATGTATTCTTTCAGTTGGTTTTCCACACATCAATATAATTCCAATTTTGCATTGCAAGTTAATTGTTATAAAAATAAAGTATTCTCTTGTAAATCAAACTACAGCCAGCATGATCCAAATCATATTATTTCCAGCAGAATATAAAGTCAAATTGTAGATAAGAATAAGAATAAGTTAATCACGTATCATGAACAGACGTTTTACTGCATTAAAAAAAATGACAATAAAATTGAAAAATACAAATTTTTTTGTATGATAATTATACATTCATGACATATAATTGAATATAAATACAATAAAATATAAAAAATGTCTTATTATACAGAGAGAAAGAATAACATATATTTGTCAAAATTCACAATTTTAATCAACAAATTAATTTAAATTTGATTACTCAAAAAAACGCTAAATTGTATCAATATGTATCTCGTGAAGTCAACCTTGAAATCATGTTCAATCATGCGAATTAATTTCATGATATTATGGACAAAATCAGTAGCTTCAAAATGCCTAAAAAATTACAGAAAATGGATCAAAATTCAGGCCATAATAAAAAAAAACAGCAAATAAACCCTAAAACGCATAGACAAGCACATAGCATTTGAACAAAATATTGATCCAAACCAATCCATAACTTCTATTTCTAAAATAAATTTACAATAATAAAACATAATCAATCACCAATCTCAAAACTAAGGCGAAATTAGAGACCCAAATCTCTTAATCCACCAAATTTCCTAAAATTCATACACAAAATAATGTCAAAACAATAGGTCCTGGTCCAAACAAAACCGCCATTGCTCAAAGGGCTTAAGATCTAGTCCAAAAAACACAAAAGATTCAAAACATTCAGTTTACTACAGACCAATAAAACGATCTATCAATTCAAGCACAGAGAGAGCATAGAAGAAACACAAATTTAGGGTTTTGTGTTGAGAGCCAACCTCGCGAAGCTTATCGGAGGAAGAACACCCCTTGACTGATAGAGAGGGAGGGAGCGAGAGTCTTGAGAGAGAAGGGGGAAGAGGAGTATCTAGAGAGAGAGAGAGCGTGTGTTTTTAGAGAGAGAGAGAGAGCGAAATACTCGTGTTTTTAAAAAAGAAATCCAGCGTCGAAGTGTAAACCCAAATGAGCGGGTTTCGACTCTTGGCGGTAATCTGTAAAAATAATAAATTACCATTATGTCCAACAAAACGAACCCACATGGTTCATAAAAAGACATGGTTTTTATGACGGAAAACGTTTATGTGAGGTCTCAACCTCCTACTGTACGAGTAGAGTGCATCTAAATAAACCACTACTGATTATTTACGTTTATATGAGGTCTCAACCTCCTACCATACGAGTATAGTGCATCTAAATAAACCACTACTGATTATTGTTCTTAGGCTGGTAACCCTCGACTCGACCTCGAGATTCATATACATGAAAAAAAAAAAGATTCATAAAATCCTATAAATAGTACATCTTCTAACCCGTTATTTGGACCATCTATTTTTCAATATTTTCAAGTGTTTTGTTTGATTGTCACAATTTTTAAAACTTTAAATTTTATTATTGGGGGCAACAATAGATTTCCATATTATTGATACGCTTTATGGCATGGAAAGTGCACTTTCCACATAGTTTTGAGGCACATCTTCCTTCAATAGTATAAGGTTGCCACTTTATACAAACCTCACCCTTTTATGAGTCCTATGCTAGTATGTAGGTTGATTTAAAAAGTGTAAAGACCTTAATTTTTCGCTTAACCCGTCTCAAGCTCGAATGAAGGAGGTGGAGTGTATTAGGTAAACAACGAATGTAAAACTCTATCAAAACTATTTATGTATATGGAATTTATGCCATCGGATTTTCTACAAATAAACCATTTATCTTTTGTACATGGATATCCCAATCATTTCCATTCATTAGATATTGAATTTGATGGCAAGGGATGAGCCACAAAGTCCGAAAATTTTATTTTTTGAACTTTGTTTCTATTCAATGACACTCTTAAAATCACCTATTTTGAAATTTAAGGGACATGAATGATTGCGGGGGGAGGCAGTTTGGATACCCCTATCCATGTTTTATTAAATAATACTAATAAAAAATAATATATGGATTATAAATTTACAACCCTACAATCGGGCAATTGTACAACATTGTAGAGTACGTGGTCTAGTGTTCGTAATAGTGGCATCATAAAAAGTCATGGCTTGTTTAGCTAGTATGTCAACCATCATATTGGCTTCACGATAGACATGTGAGATGTACCGCACATGTTCGATGAGTCTTTGTCAGCAATTGGCAACAACAATGTGACAACGCCTTAGAGTTCTGTATCTATCTCGAAGGACATTGACAAATAAAGATGAATCACTTTTAATTTGTAAATGAAAGCAATCTAACTCCATGGCGATATCCACTATGGCTTGCAAAACATGAAACTTTGCATAATTATACTTGTTTTTATAAGTGTTATAATTAGGAGATACATACTATGAGATTATTTATTTTTGATACAAAGAGGCCACAATTGGTACTAGCCATTGAATGTCAAATTAAATGGCTCAAGCTGTCTCATAATTCAGTCCTAATCAAGCATATTATATCTCGAGATACATGCTACATACGTGGGATGATATCTTGATTATGAGGTTGTAACCTTATAAATCCATTTTATATTACACTTGTCCTTCAAGGATTGTGTTTCATAGTTTTGAAAATGGGATATGACATTGTGAGACCTTTCCACACCCATGTATGTAGGATTTTAAATGATCACCATTAAATTTGACACAAATATATAGAAAAGTTAAGTCTCACACCTATGTAATAATTTTTCTAGAGATCCGTACTAAATTTAATAGTGATCTTTTGAAGTCCTACACGCATAGGTGTAGGAGGTTCTTATAAGATCATTACTCTTAAAAAAAAAAAATATGCCTACTCCTCGTGAGAAATAAAAAAAAGGTTACACTATGTTTGAACCATTCACTATTTTGGAGTAAAAGCAGTCCATAACTAATGACTAATATTTCATGGTGCTTTGATTGAAGAATTGGGAATATGTTTTTCAATAGAAAATCTCTTGTCCACATCATGTGAACAGTGGAAGGCTGCACACTTTAGATTTAACATGGCCACATCCAACCAAGATACCGATATTTTTTCATTAAAAATATTTTATTTCTGTATAATTTGTGCGATATATAAAAACATATCTATTTTTTATTTTTAAATAAATATTATTTTAAAATAAAATACAAACCGGCCATTAGATGACACTAAGTTCTATTTGAGCCATGCAAGGGGGCTTTTGCACCAAACTTTACTACCACTTTTTACCCTAAACCACATTAAATGCCAAACTATACGTTACTCCAGTGGAAGCATACTACGAAATCAACGGTTAAAATATTTTCTCCAAAAAAGTGAAGATAACGTGTTTTGAAATATTCCTCCAAAGAAAAAGCGATATCAACCGTTCAAATATTTTCTCCAATAAATATCACTTCTAGGTGAGTTTGTGTAGAGCCTAGGCTCTAAACAATCAAATTAGAGCTTACCTTCAAGTACTATAGAGAAATGTGATTTCAACACTACACAAAAATACATTGCAAAATACACTATTTTGAAAACTTAAAATCTTTTTTTTCTTCTCATGTCTTGCATCTTGTGATCGAGATGATCAATTTGATGATATTTGGACATCAAAAGAACCTCTGCTAGTTAATTTTTGAAGTAGGTTTTAATTTGATTGTTTAGAGCCTCAGCTCTTTGTAAACTTTTCCCTTTTTAGTTTAAAATTTTATAATATTCTCTAAAAATTAATATCCTATTATATTTCAAAAATAAATTATTAAAGGGTCCGCATTGCTACATATGAGTCTGTGGAGTCAAAGAAGCCGCGTCCGTTTGTCTTACTATGGTTTTCTTTAGTTTTTTGTCTGGACACTGAGGTAGGAAGTGACAATTTCTTAAAAACTTAATGCGCGACACGCAAGGATTCGGAAACGTGTACAGAGAGAGAGAGAGAGGGGAGTTTCTGCTCTAGAGAGAGAAAGAGAGTTTATTCGCTCTCAAATCAAGCGATCGAGCTTTTTTCTGGTTTTGCAGAGTTCTACACGACGGCAACATATTCATAACGTATGTCTTTCTCTCTTATATTTCTGCATAATCTTGTAGCTTTGTGCTTATTTATCTTTCATTTTCTCGATTTCTCCATCTTTTTCGCGATTTTCTCTTTGTGATACGTTATTTTGGGAATTTTTAGTTATTCTTTGGAATACAATCTTTTTTTTTTTTGCTCATTCTTGCAAATTGTTGCATGGGCATGCTTCTTTCTCATTTATTCATGTTGATTTCATATTTCCTCTCTTTTTTTATGCCCTTCTTTTTTCAAAATTATTGCGCATTTATTGTTGGTTCTTTCGATCTATCTATTTTGGTTTCTTTCGTTCTCTCTCTGTGATTTCTTTTATCTTTTTTGTTCTTTTTTGGTTCTAATTTCCTGTTAAATATTGGAAACGTTTATTTTTTTCCTGATCTTCTTTTGGGCTACTTTCTTCTAAAGGACTATTATTTTTGTATAATTATAATAGTAAAGTTATTTTCTGTTGTATTTTCCCGCTAATTCTTTGAAGATTTGCTTAATTCTTGAATTTTCTTTCCTATTTACTCTGTTACTAAATCTTGTTCAATTATGCTTCACTTTTACATCCCTTTGTGTTCCTTTGGGGTTTAACTTTTCCAAAATTTTTGAAAATGGAATCTTCTCATATATATTATTGGTTTTAACCTGTTTGATCCAATATTTCCATCAAAGAATGATTTCTTCCTTTATATATTGGTTGAATGTCCTATTGGATTAATATCTTGTAAAAATCTTATGAAACTAGGTCCATGCTTCCTTGTTCTATATTTTGATGTGTATCTCCTTTTGTCCATCTTATAAAACCAGTCTACAAGAAACTAGCCGAGTCCAAGTCAGGTTGGTTCGCATTTCTTGGACTTGGCAGGCTACCCAGTCTGGAACCAAACATATGGGAACCAGCTGATTCTGACAGGTTGCAAGATTTTATTAATTTTGTGTTCAGATTGGGCTGAGTTTCTGGCAGACTCAGTTGAGTCTCTCGGACTTGACTCGGGCTCAGGATCCTAGCAGGTCCAGACCAGAGTCTCAACAAAGTGTATAAAAATATGTTCATTTCTCCATAAATCTCTGTGTTTCCATATATCTCAAACGATATGTGTGTTTTAACTTAGGGTGTGGTTTGCATAAGATTGCAACCTTAAACAATCCAATTAAGGCGCACCTCTAAATTTTATTATAAATGTAATTTTAATATAAAATATTCTTAGGATGGCTTGACAATCTATTTTCATCTCTAATTATACAAATTTAAACTCTAAAAATGGTTCAAATCAAATAGATCTTTAAACATATGAAAATCTTGAACATGGACAGTCTAGATAATGTGTTGCAAGATACACTATTTTGTTGACTTAAAATCTTTTTGTTTTCATAGTTATACATCTTGATGTCAAGATGATCTATTAGAGGGTTTTCCAACATCCAAACAACTTTTTATGATGGATTTTGGAGGTGCATCTTTGATTCTACATGTTAAGGTTGCAACCTTATATAAACTTTGATTCTACATTTTAAGGTTGCAACCTTATATAAACTGTGATTCTACATTTTAAGGTTGCAACCTTATATAAACTTTTTCTTTTTAACTTATTTCATTGCAAGTATTGAATGCTTATTTCAATGCTTTATATTTTGAGTATCTCCTTTGCTTCTCATTACTTTTAGCACAAGGACGTCATAATCACTCTTGTCCATTAGATTTTAAATCGGGTGGTTGTGAGCATGTAATTGGCTAGACTCAAAGTTAAAAAAAACAGTCTCAAACTTCATGACACACCCCAAGCCATCCAATTTGACATCTAATGTCTAGAAGTAATTGTAACCTCTTTGTAAGAAAGATAAATAGTTAAATGGTCTCATAGTATACAATTTCTTTCCAATTTCAATTTCTTTTTATCCTGTATTTGTTCTTTATAACTATTTGTTTCTTTGTGGATGTATTTTATGATTGAGCCTCTTTTCACTCTATGTCATCATCATCATCATCATCCAAGTCTTATCCCAATATTTGAGATCCGCTGCATGAATCATTTTCTTCCATCCTCTCATAACAAAGGTTCAAGATTCATGATAAAATGTAGCAAAGTTTTACACTGGCTGCCTACCTAATGCAACTACTCATTTACCCGGGCTTGGGACGGGAGTTTAAGGTCCTCACGCTTATTAGACCTATTTCACTCTATGTATAAAAGGAAATAATCTAGCAATCATTATTCCCCTATTCCCCTCTTCAAATCTATCGTCCACACCCTCGACCAAACCTTCTCTTTCCCTTGTTCTCCTACATTCTATTCCCCCTGATGTCCAGATACCTCAAACCAAATCGAAAGGAACGAGGATCTCACAGAGGGAACAATTGAAGACAGCGGTCTCCACTTTGACAGCGATATTTCGTCAATTTCCGAACTCCTTAGAACACAAGCAGGAGCGCCTCAGACAACCTCTTCTCCCTCACCATCTAGAATGTCTAGGGAACTTTCCCAACTCCACTAAGGTATTAACTATGATGGCCATAGTAGTTTGGCCCAACTCATTTCCCTCTCTTCCATCCCTTCCTGTAAGTCCCAAAAAGTGGAGATCTGCCAGAAGATCCGCTTGCCACCCAAACTCTCCTAGATGAAGATCTTATGTTGGAACATTAGGGGTCTTGGCTGCCATGCCAAGCGTTCAGTGATTCGATAATTAGTTAGGTCCAATTCCCCCACTATCTTAGCAATCTTTGAAACTAAGCTTCCGTCCCCTGATCTTTCCCAGGTTCGGGAAACCTAGGGGTGTACCCATGTTGCTTGGGTAGCCAAAGCCTCTCTAGGTGCGTCGGGGGGTATCTGGGTAATCTGGAACCCTACTATCGTACAGGGTACTTCCTCCCTTATCTTTGATTACTCAGTCAGAATCAAGTTTAGGAGAGTTTCTAATAACCTTCCCTTTCAGGCTACCTTGGTTTATGGCCCCAACAGTCCTACGCTTAGAGAAAACCTGTGGCAGGAACTGTTGGCTCTGACTCCTCCCTCTGATACCCCTTGGCTTTAGGAGATGATTTCAACTCAGTTAGGTGGTCCCATGAGAAATTCAATGGTGGCCGTGTGACCTCTTAGATGAGATCCTTTAATGGGTTCATTGAGAGCATTCCTCTCATCGACATTCCTCTATCTGGGGCTTCCTTTTTTTGGTCCAACCATGCCGTTGATCCTATTCTGACCAAAATAGATCGATTTCTCATTAACCCAGCCTGGGAATCACTTTTCCCTAGCACTTGTTCCAGGGTCCTCCCAAAATCCACATCAGATCATAGGCCGATTCTCTTAGATATCTTTACTACTTCTTGTCTGAACATACCTTTTAGATTTGAGCTCTTTTGGTTGGATGAACCCTCCTTTGCCCCTCTCTTCTTTTCGATCTGGTCTTCCTCTTTTATCCCTAGGTGGGCTGGGTTCAAACTCACTCGCAAACTTCAAATCCTCAAGACATCCTTGAAAGCTTGGAGCAAAGGTTTTCCCCCTAACTTTAGGGAACCCATTAGAATCTGGTCCGCATCTATTGAGGCTTTGGATTCAATTGAAGAATCCTGTCCTTTAACCCCTCAAGAAAGTGATTCTAGGTTCCAGGCCAAACTCAATCTCTCACACACCCTTAAGCAAGTGGAAACTTATTGATTTCAACGATCTAGAATTAAGTGGCTCAAAGAAGGGGACAGAAACACAGGTTTTTTTCATAAGACTTCTAGTTCTAGAAGGAGAGGCAAAGCCCTCACTCAAATCTGGGTAGGACTCCATTGCTTATCCCAACCCAATCATATCAATAGGCTGTATATTATAGGTACTTTAAGAATCTATTCTCTAAACCTACCTACCAGTGCCCTACAATATGGAACCTAACCTTCCTTAGCCTGTTCCTAGCTGAGTCAGATGGTCTTCAGAGGCCTTTCACAAAAGGCCATATTTGATCTTCACAAAGATAAGGCACCGGGTCTTGATGGATTCCCAGTTGCCATCTTCTAGAATTTTTGGGAAGCAACCTCCCCTGATATTTTGGCTCTGTTTGAAGGATTCTTTCAAAGAGGTTGTCTCCATGCAGCTTTGAACTGTACTTTCATATCTTTAGTGCCCAAACTGGAAGGAGCTAATAGGTTGAGAGATTTTCGCCCCATTAGCCTGCTCATTTCCACATACAAAATCCTTTCAAAGGTCCTAGCTACTCGCCTTCAGGTAGTACTAAGTTCCATCATTTCTATTACCCAATTTGCATTCGTGGCTAATAAGCAAATTCTAGATGGGGCTCTTACGGCGCATGTTTCTAGCCAAATAGGGTTGATAATAAAACTTGATTGTGAGAAAGCTTACAATAGGGTAGATTGGGACCTCCTGGACCTAATCCAAGCTAGAATGGGTTTCGGACCGCTCTGGAGGAAATGGATCTTAGCTTGCATATCCAATCCTTCCTTTTCTATGCTTATCAATGGTACCCCGAAAGGTTTCTTCCAAGCCGGCAGAGGGCTTACGCAAGGAGACCCCCTTTCTCCTTTCCTCTTCACTTGAATAGGAGAATTGTTCTCTAGATCCATCTCTAGGCTTTACGCTCCTGTCGGGCTTTAGATCCTCCTCTCTTGGTCCCACCATTTCACATCTTCTTTACACAGATGATACTTTAATCTTCTGTGATGCCAATCCTGACCAAGTGGATTGCCTTTGGAGATTTCTCAGAACCTTTGAGCTTCTCACAGGGATGAAAGTCATCTTACCAAAACTACAATGATAGGCATACTGGTTCAAATGCAGAATTGGAGAGTCTAGCCCAACGATTAGGTTGTGTTGTTGAAACCCTCCCCTCCTCCTACCTAGGCCTTAACCTAGGAAGCACCTATGGGACCACCTGATAGAGAAATTTCACTTGGAAGTTCGCCCCATGGAAAGGGAGATTCTTGTCATTTTGGGGTAGAATCACACTAATTAGAGCCACACTTGCTAGCATTCCTATTTACTATATGTCACTCTTTCAAATCCCTATCTCGTTCATCCAAAAAACTAGAGAAATTAATGAGGGATTTCTTATGGTCGGGAGCAGATGGCCCCAAAAAATATCATTTAATTGCTTGGGAGAAGGTCGGTGTTCCAACAAAAAATTTGGGGGATTGGGATAAAAAACCTTTTGAACCTTGTGCTTTTAGGGAAGTGGTGGTGGAAATTCTCCTCTCCCCACCCTCTTTTATGGAAACAGTTCGTCAGGGGGGTACTGATGATTGGCTGCCTAGAACTCCACCGCATAGTTCATCTGGGGTTTGGAAAAGCATCACACTCACTAAGAATGTCTTCTGGAGTCGTACTAGATTCAAACTAGGCAATGGTCACCGAATTAAGTTTGGGACTGACCTCTGGATAGGCCACACCCCTCTGAACATCTCCTTTCCCTTCCTTTATTCTATGGCCTGCAATCAATCAGCTTTTATAGCTGATTATGTAGAACTTGGAGTGTTCAATCTAGTCTGGACACCCATTTTTCGCAGAAATCTCACAGAGCAGGAAACTACCTCCCTGACCTCCTTACTCCAACTTTTGCGACGGCGTGGAGTCTCCTTCCCCAATAGATGTAATCTTTGCCACCTAGAAGAAGAGACTATCCCACATCCCTTCATCCAATGTGATATCGCTTTTGGACTTTGGTCATCCCTCCTGAACCTTTTGGTCTTCTTTGGGTCACCCCTCCATCTTTGGATATCTTTACTGCCCCCCCTTTCTCCTCCCCTGGCAAACAACTGTGGTGTATCTCAATAGCGGTCCTACTTTGGAGTGTATGGATAGAGAGGAACTCTAGAACATTTAGAGGTTCATAAACCCCAAAAGTCTATCTTTGATACTATCTCTTCCCTTATCGCCTTCTGGGCCAAAAACATACTCAACTTTGCGAACCTCCCGATTTCCCATTTTCTGAATAACTGGGCCAGCTTACTTAAACCTATCACCCCCCTCACATAGACCTCGGCCCACTTGGTCACCTCCACCCCCAGGCTTTTTAAAATTTAACAGAGATGGCTCTTCCTTAGGAAACCCTGGTCACTCTGGTATCAGTGGGATACTCTCAAACTCAGACTCAACCCTTTGGAGCTTCTCGGAGTACATAGGGATTCGAGATTCCACAGCAGCAGAGGCCCTTGCTCTGCTTGACGGATTAGACAAAGTGGCTCTTATGGAAGACTGCTCAGGTGGATTGCTAGTAGAGTCTGACTCCAAGAATACTATTCTCTGGGACTCTGATCTCAAGGAGCCCCCATGGAGACTTACCTCAGTTTTTGAGCTAATTCGAAGCATCTGCAGAAGCCTCTCCCAAGTTCGACTCACTCTCATCTACCGAGAGGCCAATGCATTGGTGGACAGTTTGGCCAAGGAAGGTGCAGCCTTGGGTGCAGTTACTCTGCCAGCTCTTTGAAATATTATGCCCTTCTCCATCTCTCTTCCTTTAGCCCTCACTCTCCAATCCCGTGTTTTTCTTCCCATTCATCCTCTGATCTCAAAAAAAAAGAAAAAAAACNAAGAAGAAGAAGAGATAGATATATATAGATAGANNNATAATATAATATATATATATATATATATATATATATATACTACTACT